TTTTGTCTGATTCGCGAACGGATCCGTTTGTCCATCATTCGCAAGCGGATCTGATACGGAGTTCGCGAACGGACAGAATACGGAGGAATACGGAATAATGTGCTGTGGTTTTCTGAAAACGGGTCGCGTGCGGTCCGTATGCGGTTCCTATTTCAACCGCGCGCGAACGCTGAGCGTCCGTAACGGATCCGTTCGCATTTTACCTGTGGGGTCTGGGCGTCTTTTTGGGATGCTTTCTAGCAGACTTGTTCAAATCGGGAAATTGGGATTCCCGTTTTCTCGGTTTTCCCGAAAATTTTCGGGAATTTTTCCCGACAGGAATTTTCCCGAAATTTTTTCCCGTGAATTTCTCCCGACGGGAATTTTCTCGTAATTTTTTTTCGGGACTTTTTCCAAGCGGGAAATTTCCCGAAAAAAGTTTTCACGGAATTCCGGGAGTCATTGTTTTATTAGATTTCTCAAATGTTCAACTATTTTTTGCTTTTTTAATAGTTTTCCGAGCAAATGCATTGGACGCTTTTGAGAAACTTGAAGAAATCGACAAATCTCAACATAAAATGAAAAACAGGCAAAATTCACTGAAAACCCAACTTCCCGATTTTTCCCGATTCTCCCGAAAATTTCCGAATAATAATTTCGGGAAAAATTTCGGGAACAAAATTTCCCGAAAAAATTTTCCCGAACAAGTATGCTTTCTAGGCACATTGATCCCAGATTTGGGGACTTGGGACGGGACATTAGAAAAAAAATACATTAATGAAATATGAACTTTTTACAAGTATCGTTCATGAGATAATCTAGCCACTCTAGATGTGTTATAGCTCAAATGATGAACCCTAAATTTTAGGATTTGTAAAGCTCTTGACTAGAATCAAAACACAGTCACAACTTCTAACCCAGAGAGGACACATACAAAATCAGCGAACGCCACTTGAAACTTGCGCTGATCACCTGAGAAAACCTTTTCCTATTTCACATTCCTCAGAGACGCTGAGAAGTAGAAACAAATAAGAAGTAAAAAGAAACTTAATGTTGTCACCTTCTTTTGCGCCTAACTTCCATTCATTTTCTCTTACTTGATTATTGTCGAAAGTGTCGGTTGTTTATCCAATACCTCTTACATTTTATGATATGGAAGGGAAGACAAAAAAAGAAGGCTAATTGGCGGTGGAGGTTAATTTGGAATAGGCATCTGTATGGGGAGAGGGTGTGGTATAAAAAGTGTCAAATCGAATTCAAATTGAATGAAACAAAACGAAATGATGAAAAGACAGAAGAAGACGAAGAAACCCCACGCCATTCCTAAACATTCTTCGAAGAGAGAGATTTCGAGAAAAAAAGAAGATAAGAAAAGCGTCGTGTTGCCATAGAAGGCGTCGAAAGCCTTGTTTAAATGATGATAGAAAAAAGAAGAAGAAGAAGACGAAAGACAACAAACCGCCCGTCCTCACTGGCCTAGTCCCGGCGACAAAGTTTGCAAGAACGGGGGGAGGCCCATTATACAATGATTCATTTCACGCTAGTATCTTCTCAACGATTCAATTTGGTTTCGTCTCTATTCAGGTCCAGAAAAAAACGGAACGCTGGATGTGTTGGAATGAATGGGCATGACGAATTGAGACGAGAATTATGGAGGAAAATGTGGATATGTCATCCAAGTAGATATACTTTGTCATAAAGACATTTCAAGATCAAAGTTTGCAGAAGTTTGTTTCTTCTAAACTGGGGAACTCTAACAATGACCAACGGATGCCAGAGAGAGAGATCTTAAACCAAATACTGGCAAATTGGAACATTGCATTGCAATTGAGTGTGAATAATTCTCGAAATTGCGTGACTCTCGGTCTTGAAACACTCCGGTTCTTCTATTTATTTTTTTCTGGAATTTCGGAATAATTCCGGTTCAATTATGCAATAATGATGACAAGTAACCGAGAAAAGAAAAAAGAGATATAATGTGACAACTGAGAGAGATCACGAGAAAATTAATTTACCGATTAGAGAGGGAAAGAAAGCAAAGTCAATATTTGAACGAGACACAAATTTTGATTGGTGAAATGAAACTGTACCCCGTCTTTTCTTATTACATCTTTTGTTTCACATTTTGTAGTGATTTGATGAGCAGAAAAAAACTAGGAAACGAAAGCTAATAAATATAATAATAACACGATTGTACGATTGCAAAAGAAAAAAATAAGAAAAGAGGAGGAGTAGAAAAGATTGTAAAGAATCAAATAATCTTTTGAGAGGAGAGGAACAAAATCAGGATGAGTCAGAGCATGATGAAAATGATGGAAGTCACTGTACTTCGGATGGAATCAAAAATTGGAGTGGATGGTTTTGGGGTTAACTGAAAATCAAATCGACTTTGGTTTCAAAAAGGTCCTAGTTCTCAAAAAAAATCAAAGAACCTAAACAGGTATTGGGCTATTCGTCAAAATCTCAGCACATTGTTTTTATCCAGCATTAATTCGTATTGGTATCCACAGGTTACAGAATCCATTTTGTATATAAAAAATTTCACCCAACTTTTCATACACCGAAAATTGCGTTTTTGGAGACCAAAAATAGTTCCACAGATTTTGATATTACTCTGGTCTAATTTTAATTCGCATTGCGGCCGAAAATTTGAGAATGGGCGGAGCTTAGATCCAAGAGCGAAAACCTTAAAGACGCATTTAAATGAGTTTTTGTCACTATTATATAATCTGATCAATTTTTTCGATTTTTCGACAAATTTTATCGATTTTGAACTATTTTTCACAGAAAAGAAACCCGACAAACCGCAAAAATCGCACAAGACGATGACAGTTATTGAAAAACCGCAAAGAAATAGGCCAGTAATTAGTTACGAAAATACATGCTCCTTGAAATGCGCTTTTAAGGATTTCGCTAACAACATCATAGATGTAGTTTTTTTCCCGATTCTATCGAAATCTCTTAAAGTGTGTAAAACAAATTTCAAAACGAGAGCTGAACCCAAAATATTGCGACTAAAGTGGCAGAAAAAAGTATAACGAGATGATGGCAGCAGATTACATTATTTCGGGCGGGCATGAGCGGAAATAAGCCAGTGAGAAGAGATAAACCGATTTGAGTCGACTGCAAGAATAGCAGTTATTTATTCAGTAGCCGAAAAATCTCACCTGTGACAGCAGTTTTTCAGGTGGATTACTTATGAAGAGATGAAGAGATGTCAGAGAATCTATGCATTTATGATTATGAAGAAATGAAAAGAATTCTGCTTTTTTGGGAGCGGACATAGAATGGGAAAATACATTTTCTGATTAGAAAAAAAACATTGCTTAAAAGAACATACCAAACAATTAAGAGTACAAAAATAAAAAGTTAAACATCAATTTTTTGAGCCATCATGAAAACTTTCAAACAGAAGTTAGGTTTGTGAGGCGTTGAAATGTTTGAAACGAGAAAAAAAGAATGTCAAAATGATGATTTAAGTACACAAACTGACGGAAATGTTCGGGTGGGGAGAGGGCAGGAGTTGGGGAGGAGAAAAGGACACGGATAATTGATAAATGAATCTACAAACAACTCAAATAGACTGTAACACACAAGAAACCTCTTCGAACAAAAATGTGACACTTTTATGAGGTCAGGTGGCTTGATTTTCTGCAAAAAATGAAGTTTAGAACCTCAAAGAAGATAAGCGAATACTTTCATTTTTTCTATTTTTCATACAAAAAAAAGAACTGAACAAAAATTGAGAAAACGAAAAAGCAGAAGAAGAAGGACATGTGTTTTTTACTATTAGATGATGCCACGAGGCACCATATGTCTCTCCAAAATGATTTGTTGGGTATCCGAATGAGTGAATGGCACAAGAGGCTAATCGATTGCCGAGATACAAGAAAACAGTTGGTAGAGTAGAGAAAAACTGAGAAAAGTAATTATGGGAATATCTGAAAAGGCAGGAAGTGTGGGAATTTCTTTTTTTTCTTCTCTGCTTGTCATTTTCACAATGAATTCTGATACGACCAAGAAAGTGGTTTCCGGTGATCCAAATAAATAATTGTTTGATAAAATAACTAACATTCTAACAAGTAATGTATCTTTGTGTCTTACAAGTTACCGTAAACACTCTAATAGAATTCCACCCAAAGTTGAGAATATATATCTCGGTTCCTGTGAAAGATATCAAAAAGTGGTCAACTAACAAAATATTTTTCATCTTATGATAAATATTTTATCAGTTGATTACTTTTGAATACCTTTCACAGGAGCTGAGATATATGACCTCAAAGTTGGTGGTTCGGGTGGGCTCCTTCTAGAGTGATTAGGTGATTAGGATAGTACCGTCTATGTCTTTTTTTTAAGGAAAATGAGAGACATCAAACTTAAAATAAACTCATATCATGAAAAGTGACTCAAATGACATGAAAAAATAAAACAGCAAAAAATAAAACAAACCCAGTCAACCATCTGTTTCATTGTTTATCACCTGTTCCATCTCCATGTGATATTCAGTGACACAACTACTGATAACCCTTTTTTCTCTTTTTTCCCAAAGTGCATTTTACTGTTCGAAACTGGTATAATATACAAAAAAGGAACAGTTCATTTTGAGCAAAACGAGAAATAGCGTAGCGACATGAGAGAGGATGAGAAAACCAGGAAATACAAGTTCCTTATTCTCAAAACCGTATCGAGATCATCACAAAACGATAGATGAAATAGAATAATAAATATTGAAAATTAAAAGTGAGTAACAGGTGATACTAAAAAGCTCTTTAAATATGAGATGACGAATCTTCTTCGGAAACTGATTCATCGAATATTCCATTCTCCAGAAGAGGACGAAGAGATCGGCGGCGGGCGGGACGAAGAGAAGGACAACCAACAGAATCAGTATCGAAGAAATGACGATAGGTGAATTCATAGAATGCGGGATTATGAAGACCACGAACGTTCGGTTTATCGGTTCGGTCGTTATCCTGGAAAAAAAAAAACATGAAATCATGGGATAAAATGTTTTTCAAAAACCTGATAGCAAATTCACTTAAAAGTGGATGTCATAAAAATAAAAATACCGTATTTCGTCTAACAGAAGCTCACCCAAATCATCAAATTTGAGTTCAATTATCTTGGTTCCCATTCTGTGTCAAAAAGTGGTCAACTAGCAAAATTTTTATTGTAACATCAAAAATATTTCATAATTTACCACTTTTTGATAACTCCTAGAGGAACCGAGACGAATTGGCTCAAAGTTAAAAATATAGGATGGATTTCTACTACAGTGTTCACGGTAGTTCGTGGACAGTGGAAGTATCGTATTTGAAATAAGAAAAATTCGGGGTTATTCCAATGCAGGAGAAATACTCGATCTAACAGGAATTTTTCTTTTCAAACTAACTTGAAATGTTTCAAAATTGGAAGTGTCTTCATCATGTGCAACTCTTGGGATATAAATATAATCAGCTCGCAACTTTCTCAAATTCTCCCAATCAATTCCCTTAAACCAGGGATGTTGTTTTACTTGTGAAGCTCCACCTCGAGTTCCCAATCGAGTGGAAGAATCGCAAATGAGTTGCTGAAAAATCAAGCATATGTATAAATGTTCAATCACAAGCGACAAGTACCTGAACCATCATGATACACTCAGTTGACAGATTTACGCCATAACTCAAATCCAAATACTTTCTCCAATTCTTAATTCGATATTGTGTTCCACCGGGGGCATCATCGTGAAATGGGACTCTTCCAAACACCATTTCATACAGAATCACTCCAGTCGACCACCAATCGCAACTTTGAGTATGTCCAGTCTTTGCAATCACTTCTGGAGCCATATAGTTTCCAGTTCCCACTAACGAATGAGCAGTTTTTCGGCGGGTTTGTTGTCGGACGTTCAGCAGTTTTGCACTTTGAGGACTGGCTCCAACTTCTGGTGGAAGGGAAAATGAATCGACTCGTTGATGTTCGTTTTCAGGTCCGTAGTATCTGAAATGAATTTCAATTTTACATATTGATTAGGGATTCAACAAGAAGAATCTCACCTTCTATCATGAGTCCATCTCAATCCAGTACAAAGACCAAAATCAGTCAGCTTGATATGGCCATGTTGATCGATGAGAATATTGTCTGGCTTCAGATCTCTATGAATGAATCCAACAGAATGAACATATTCAATTGCACATGTCAACTCGGCAATATAAAATCTAGCGAGTGGCTCTTCGAAAATTCCTTTATGAATCAACAACGTCATCATATCTCCTCCAGGAACATATTCCATAATGAAATACAGACAAGCGTCATCTTGAAAAGAGAAAAACAGACGAACGATCCATGGTGAGTCGGCCTCAGCTAGAATATCTCTTTCTGCTTTTACATGAGCTGCCTGTAAATTTTAATTCTGAAGTTTTCCATTTGAAAATAAAAGATCACCTGTTGCTTCATGATTACATCAGCCTTTTCCAAACTCTTCATAGCATAAACCTTGTCTGTATCCTTTTTCCGAACCAATGAAACTTTTCCGAATGCTCCAACTCCGATATGCGAGATAACAATAAAATTGTTTTTGCTCATTTTTTGTCTTCGTAATCTTGTGTATCTGGATTCTTTTTGTTGTAGAATACCCAACATTTTATCTCTCATCATATCTGGCAATTGAGCTGCTGCCATTTCTTTTTGCAACTGTCTCATTCGTTTTTCCCTTTCTCGATATTGTTGGAGAAGACGCTCGACATGTTGTTCCATGTAAAATCGAAGCATATTCGGTTTGCATGGTTGCACTCTTCTTGTGTTCTTCAGATACGGATCAAGTAGAGATCGATCGATTGGAGAGCTGACTCTTTTTGGTGGAGGCTCACTTGGTTGATTGTATTGAGGGGGCGGAGCTTGTGGTCTTGATTTGAAAGTTATATCGAGGTTTGATGGTTTGAAGAGGATAGGCCGAAAATCTTCGTGATTCGCATCCGATGTTGAAGGCACTAGTCGGGGATCAGGTCGGAGCTGAAATAGTTTCAGAATTTAGAAAATGAACTAGAAATACTTTGCAAAACAAAAAAAACAAACCTCGTCCTTATAATTCACAAAATTTTTTGATCTATCCATATCAGTAGTATACCTCGGACCAATAATAAATGATTTACTAGGAAGTGGACTGTCTCCAACATTCACTTTTGTCTGAAAAATAGTTCATAATGGTTTTTCAGACGGTTTAAAAAGATACCGTATGAGGAGAAGCCACATTAATACTGACTACACTGCTTGCTGTTTTCTTGTCCATTGAAGTGTGATATAGTCTTTGAAAGTTATCTGTTTTTCTTTCTTCGTTTCTGAAACCCATACTTTTTGTTTTCTGTTTTTTTTTTTTTTTTGGATGAAAAACTTACATTGTCTCGATAGAAATTGTTGATTTTCCAGGTGGGGGTGGAGCCATGTTCTTCGTGTGTTGGAAAATGATTTGGTTTGTTTGGACTTTTGGAGCTGGCTGGGTTTTGATGTGCAGGTGAGTACGGTAGTTGTCAGCAGCCACTGGAGTCATTCGAGTATTCATTGGAGGCGCATCATATGCTGGAGGAGGTGGACGAGACTGAAAAAGTGAAACGTTTAGTTTTAGTTCATTTCAAGGTTCAGTAAAAGGTATTGGTTCTCTCTTTGTATAATCCATATATGAACCAGGACATGCCATAGTTTCTTTTAGAATTAATATTTCAGGATCATTAGATATGCTTGACGAGTACTACAAAATGGTATTTTTGGGAAAATTTTATATTGTCTATGAACAAAATCATAAGCCATAATCAAATTTAGTTGGTCCTGAAATATTGCTTCAAGAAGACACTCTGGCAGGCCCGCAAAGGCCCGCCAAGAGCTCGGTTTACAAGCATGGTTTAATCAGTTTTTTGTTGAACAGATGATTCGAAGTTTTTGTTTTCCTTTTGTTTTCCTTTTCACAAGAAAGAAACTTACATATCCAGGTGAATACTGTGGAGCATTATTATTCATATGATATGCAGGTGTTGGCATGTCATATCGATATCCAGATGGGTGTATCCTAATTGATTCTTCAACAACTGGTGTGGCACTTGGAACATTTCCATTTCGAATCATCTCTTTTCCAGTTCGATAAACCACTTCATTGCCTGTTTCCATCATCAAATGACGTTGTGGCATAGGAGCTATCCTCATTTTTGGTCCTCCTTCTGTCTGAAAGTTCCGAACTGGTATTGAAGTAAACTATAGTTTTCTTTTGGTTTTTTTCTTCCTTTTTTTCTCATTTTCGGTACCGAAAAAAAAATGACTCACTCGAAAAGAACTCAAATGTGATACAACGCCGCTCGAGACTGTCGTCGTTGCTGCCGTAGAAGAAGATGAATTCATCATTTCCGTGTTGTCGTTGGTGATGTCAGAATGACTAACAGATGATGATGAAGGCGTCGTTTGAGAACCATTTAGCACGTGGTTGGCGGGTGAAGATGGTCCCGATTCATGCTCATATGCCTTTAGAGATGCTCGAATTTCATCCAACTTTGCTCGATGACGCCCAACTCGAATGTCCTGTAGATAATTTTGAAATTTAATGTTTCGAATTAAATTCAAATGAGTCACTGGTCCAGAAAACTATAAAGAAGAGTAAGTTATCAATGGAATGCACCCTGTCTAGGTGATTTCACTTTTACTATTTGATGAACATTTCTTATCAAAATGTCATTTAGCATCTGCAAATTTCACTTTCTTTTTTGATAAAATATGGCTCCGATTTGTCTCGGAACGCCAACGCCTAACATGGAAAACGGCATCGAATTTTTCGAAAAAATAAGCTTGAATCGAAAATTGAATAAAAAAGCAAATGATGGTATGATATTTAGCTGAGATTGTCAAAAGTTTAACTTTAGCTTTTCTTTATCAATTGAAACAAATTCTTGTTTAGTTTTCACACCATACACTAAAGTTCATTTTTTGCATTTCACATTCCTTTCAAATCAATAATCACCTCCGATTCTATCTCTCTCTCTCTCTCTCTCTCTCTCTCTCTCTCTCTCTCTCTCTCTCTCTCTCTCTCTCTCTCTCTCTCTCTCTCTCTCTCTCTCTCTCTTTCTTCATTTTCTTTTTTTTTCTCATCTAAACCTACCGAACTGTGTTGTACATCTGCTGTCGACAAGTTAGACGGGACAAATGATGGGGTTGGAGCAACTCCACGTAGTCTGATATGATCTGTTCCAGTGGTTGATGCACCATTTGGAGTAGTAGAACTAGCGACAACAGGTCGCATTCCAGGGGAATACAATGCAAAAAGGAGGCCGAACACTGACAAACACAGAAGATGGACGGAGACGATGGGAGGAATGAAGAAAAGGGGGAAGAGAGAAGGCAAGAAGAGAATAGAAAACGATGAGAGGTGGTGATACACGAGTGTCGTCTTGTGTGTGTAGTCTCTCTCTTCCTCTCTCTCTCCATTCACACAGGAAAAGACTCTGTTCTCTGCAAAACTCTTTTTCTCTTTTTCCTTTCTCTTACTCTTATTTCGTGCTCTCTTCATCCAACACACTCTCTAAGTGTCGTTTAGTTTCCAACACATTTCGGACGTTCTGAGTCTCCGAGACTCCCAATTCTCGTCCCTATCATCAACGGCCATCATCATCATCGCCGTTGAAAAGACATCCGTGCCGGTATCCTGTCATGTCATCCAGCAGAAAACCTCTCATACGGTAAGCCAATTCTGTCATCGCGCTAGATCTACTAATTCAGCGTTTAGCTTTTTCTGAACTGATTAGGCTATAGTTTTCTGGAATTATTAGGTTGTTTGGAAAGTTCCCGTCTTTTATTAGCTACTGTATTCAAACTTGGTTTTTAACGACGGGGTAAACGTGAGTGAGCTGTCGTTTTATTAGTATATTAGTGAGGTCTAATAGTGTCTAGACCAAAACGGAGACCATTCTCCTCAAGTACATCAGTGGCAAGCCTTTTGTCAAAAAGTCATAAATTGAAAACTCTCGGCAAAGTGTAAAAATGTGGGAAGACATTGACCACACCTTTTGGCTCAATGCAATTTTTTTCTCGGGTGGGCACCTGTTTGAATCTTTTCATCCTGTGTTGCACACATGAATGTTAGAATCACATCATAACATTGAGGGGATGAATGGGTAATGTATGATCACAATAGGCGACGAGCCAAGTGGGTTGACAAAGGCACTCAACCACCAGACGTCCCAAAACGTGAAATTCGTGTTAAAAATGGGATATCGGTAATGTGGTCTACCAAGAAGTGGAGTAATGGGAGCTGCCAGATAATTGCGTCACTTTCAAGACCGATACCTATTCTTGTCAAGCGACATAACTCACACATTATGTGTATCTCCATGGGAGAGAAACATAATGGTTCATTTTCAAAATTAATATCCGCAACCTCATGCGGGAAGGAAGACCCAGGCCGATCTCGCTGAATGTGGCTGGACAATTGTGCTTTATCCACCGTGTAGCCCGAACCTTCTACTTTCAGACTACCACCTACGCAGCCATTTCCAATGTCATCTTGATTGCAAAAAAATTCACCTGAAAACAGGATATCAAAAAGGGGTTGGCTTGGGTTTTTATTCGCTTTCACCGTAGTTCTGGAAGGAAGGCACCCACAATTTAGTGGGGCGTTGGCAAATAGTCATCGATAACAATGGTCATTACCTTCAATTTATACGACATCGTTTTGACCTTTTTTACTTTGAATGTATCTGACACTAAAAATGACGGGAACTTTCCAAACAACCTAATAGATATTCTTGTTTCTTTTCGGATTTGGCGTTTTCGGACTCAACTTTCGAAAAATTAGGTTATGAAAAATCATTAATTGAATACTGAAACTTAAGAGAAAACTTTTTACCAAAACTAAATTTTCCATACTTGAAAAATCTGGGTCCCGCCAGTGGGCCTAGCCGGGCTGGGCCAGATTTTCAGGGCCCGGGGTTTTTCACAATTGGAGAAAATTGGAAATTTCAAAATTTTTCTCCAATTTTGTTGTATTGACCCTAATTTTTTAAACTCACCTTGGGCTGGTCACTAAACCTTGAGCCGGTCCCTAAAAGTCTTGAGAAAATTTAAGCCCGGCCCGTTGCAAGTATGCAATTTTCCGACGGAACCAATAGTAAGGAGGTCTAAAAAATCGGTGTCCAAAAAATCTCCCCTGTAACTCAATTCACAAATCCTCCCGGCCTTTTAATCCTCTGAAAATCTCTTTTTTATGCATCCCCCTATCTATAAAAAATCGATTCTACCCTCTCCGGTTTTCGGATGATGCCACGTCGTCTGTTCTCTTTTGCATAAAAAACACCGAACACCAAGTATGGCTGAATGTCGTCCTCGTGGCTTTTCCTCCCTCTCTCCGATTCTGCAAACACTATACAAACAATATGATCTTTTGCCACACACTTTTTCTTCTCTTTTTTAGTTTCATTTTTGCAGAAGCAGTTCTCACTCGGATCGACCAACCACAATGAGAAACTGGCCACTTTTCGTATTCCTTATCTGCCTGGTATTTAGTTCTGAATTGTGACTATTCTTAAAGATGTTTTCAGGTTCTCTTTTTCTATGCCTTCTACATCTACCAAGCTCAAGGAGCAGTTCTTGCTCAGACAACGGAAGAAGTTAGACAACTATCTGCACAGTTGAGTTTGACGAAAGGAAAACTTGTTGGTAAGAAACTAAAGGATGGATGGATTTAAAAACTTTGCTCATTTCAGGAAGTATGGCTGATATGGAAACAAGCAATAGTGAAAAGAAGACATTATCTACGCAATTAGACGACGTTACAAAAAAAAATGAGGAATGTATGGTTTCTTTGAGAAACACAAAATTGAGAGTTGATACTTTGGAAAAGGATGGAAAATCGAATACAGATAACTATACGTAAGTAGTGTTCAACGTCTTCTGAATATCTGAATTCCCGTTTCCAGCAAAATGCAAGAAGAGTTGACTGCTGTCAAGGCGAAAGCAGAAGAACTCCAAAGAAACAACACGGCGCTTACTTCTCTTGTTTCGACACAATCCCAATTGATCACTCAGTTGAATCAAACGATTGGAATGTAAGTTAAAGTATTTAAGATTCCTATATGTGAATTTCATTTCCTTTTCAGCATCAAATTCGAGAAGGAAGAGTTGAAAAATGCCGCGAATCTGAGCAACTTGACACCAAAAACAGAAAAGCCTGCTGCAGCAGCACCAGTTGAAGAGCAACAGAAGCAGGATCAGAAGGAAGTATCGATCACCACTCCAACGACAACAACGTCCCAGAAACAGGATCCAGAGGCTGATGGACAAGAAGTGAAAGATGATAACGAGGAACCATCAACTGTAGCGGTTTCATCGACTCAATCTCCTTTAGAAAAATTTGAGGAAAAGAATCCAGAAGCAGAAGAGCCTGAGCCAGTTGTTGCTGAGCCAGATGCTGCTGAACCAGAAAACAAAGAGACATAATCGTCCCTATTAATTTTTTTAAAAAATCATTTCATTCCTCACATTGCTGTTATGAAATCGGTTCAGTTTTTCAAATTTAGACTTTTTTCTCGCGGGTTTTATTGGATAATAGTTTTATTTTGTATCTAAATCGATTTCAATCGAGCGTTTTTTTGGGTCATACAAACATAACCTCAATAAATGTTTGTGTTTATTTTAAGGTGTTGATTCAGCATAATTTGACATTTGACAGTAAAATTTAGGATTTAAATTGAACAATATTCTTAAATGAAATGCAAATGAAAATCAGAAATGAAAAGGAAATACATCTAGGCCAATCTCGACATAATATCCACAGCTAATTGTCGAATTGCAAGATCTGGAGATGCAAGAACTATTTGAGAAACTGCTGGAAGAAAATCTGGAAGGTGCTCGCGGAGCAAGTTATCAGCAACATAACGGAGAGGAATCAGACAAATGTCACGATGTGCAGCTAGACGAGTCTCATCGTAATCATCTTTGTTCTGGTCATTATTTTGAATCGTAGTTGTATCCGGGTCTTCTAGAGCCTGTTGGAATGGATTTCGGCGGTCGGGAACAAATGGTTTCAAACGATCACGATGCTTGTCATATTCTGAAATTCAAAAACATTTTTAAATTTTTCACATGCTACACCAACCGCTCAACGCATCGTCTACAAAATCTTGGGAAACCAGTCGATATGCATTTTCTTCTCCATTTTCCACAGGAACCAGGTGGTACATCTGAACAGACCAGTTCAACGATTTCTTATAGATTTTTGATATTTACTGTAATCGCATGCTCTCTGCATACAAGAGCACTTCTTCTTGTGCTCACTTCGAATTCTACACTCTTCAAGTCAATACTTCTCGATTTAACCAATTTTGCGATCTCTTCGAGATGTCCTTGTTTTCTGAAAAGAAAAATGGATAAAAGGAAAAAAATTGCAATTAATACAAACTTGGTTCTCTCAAATCTTCTCAACAAACTTATCGTTCTGATCAAATTCGAACTGACGAGAATTTTCAAAAGGTTCGCATGCTCTATTCCCAACATTCGAGAAAGTAAACTTCCGACTGCTGGTCGACTATCGAAATCAAGACTTGTCTGAAATACAAAAATTGTTTTTTTTAAATAAAATTGTTTCTAACCTCTGAAGATTCGCTGAGAATTCCATAAAGGATTGGATAAATCGAATCATCCAGCTTCGGATCCATGGGACTTGTGGAACCGATCAATGAGGCTTTGAGCTTGGGATTTGAGTCTTCTGAGAGAAGAAGAGATGCAATTAATTGGAGAAGAAGACAATGAGTGAAAAGGGTAGAAATGATTGAGTGAACTTCTAATCTGAAAACAAAATCATATGATCTGAATTGTATTATATCATCTAACCTGTGAGTATCTGCTCCATGAGATAACATTATCAATGCTATTCCACTACTCAAATCTTCTTCATCATCATTAATAAATCTCTCTTTTCGGGAAGAGAAAACTTGAACAGCTGCTATAAACTGTCGGAATAAGAGCTTTCCCGGATTATAAGATGTCACATCTCCAATATCTCCGTTCTCATCTGTAGAATTTCGGACGAAAAATGAATTGAGAAGTTTGATGTGTCGAAGACTTTGAGACCTAAAAAAATCTTTGGAAAAAGGAAAAAAAATCATAAATCTCACGATGCATTTGCTAAGAAATTACTAAATATACTCCATTGCTCAGTTGAAAAGTGTGTAGAGTTATTAGCAATCAGAGTGAAATATGCTGGAGCCACTGCACATGTTTTATCAAAAAGGGTACATTCTACTATCAAAGAACATATATCCCGAAGAAGTCTATCTCGCCAAGCAGACACTGAAAATGGAAAATATGTTTAGCGTCTTAGATTTTACCTCACTTTTCTCTAATTCCAACATGTCGATTACTGTTTGAGTGCATGCACCAATGACTTGTTTCAAGATCTTCACCTCCTCTACATCTGGTCGTCTTATCCATTTTTGAACGTATGGAAGAATTACAGCTGACATACATACACCTCCACTATCCGCTCCTAATGGTTTGTTAGCAATATCTACCAGGAGACGTCCGATCATATCCAGAAGGTTCTTCTGAGTATCTGGAGAAGACGTCAAAAGTGTTCCACAGATTTGATCCACTGAAAAATTTATTTCCCAAATCTAAAGACTATAATTCACTCACTAAATGTCAGAAAAAGCTCAGCTGCTGCAATTTCATATGTTTCTTTTCCTTCCCATGGAAGTGGCCCATGAGGAACTGCCACCGGATCTTGATCCATTTCTACTGTATCCAAGCATTTCGACCGCAAATCTGATCGATGAAGCAGGTGATAATTTGGAATGTGTGGAGTACTGTAGAGGTATAAAATCAATGAATAAATGTTCGGAAGTAGTCGAAGTGCAGCAGAAGAGACTTCCGAAGAGTCATCAGAATTTTGAAGCAAGTTGACAACACACGGAACACATTCAAGAATACTTGAGGATAGAATCGATGGACTATCGATTCGGAGATATGAAGAAATGACGTCAATCGCACACCAATGAACTTTCTCATCTCTAGCAGCACCAACTGCTTTCAATGACCCAAAAAGTGGTTTCCAGCCAGAACCTATTTTATCAGCTTGAGAGAGAACTAATTGACTGAGAGCACACAGAAGTTGTTCTTTTGTTTCTTCTGAGCAGTTCTCCGAGCATGATGCAGTCTGACAGTGTTTTGTATTGTGTTTCCAGTTTGCTGAAAAGTCTCACTCACCTGAAAAGGAACAATGAGCGTTTGGTTGAATGACATTCCCGGTGATTCTGTTATCAGCAACCTTGTAACAACTTCTGCCAATGCTGAAGCAGCTATTCTAGATTCCTGATCACACTGACACACTTTCACAAAATGTGCAGATACCAAAGGGTAAATGAACATTTGATGAATCAAAGGACGATGAGAAAGTGTGGATATTATATCAGAAATCTGGAAAAAACACGAATTAGTTCAAAAACCCGAATCTGAAATCATACTCTTGTCAACAGAGAAACTGGTGCAGTCAAATGAATGTGTTTCTGAGCTGAATAGAATATTCGATTCTCAGATGAGGATACAATCGCCACGCAGAGATCATGAAGCGCAGGAAGGCATAATTCACGACAAACTTGAGAATAGAATCTGCAAATGGAAGATTTAAAGTATCCAATTTTGTTGAAAAGTACCGATCAACTTTGGCAATCAGAACACAAATTGCTCGATTCAACGAGTGAACAGAAAGTGTGGGCTCATCACCAAGTGCATTTTCTATGGAACTGTCAGCAACGCTTGTGTTCTGAAAAAATTACTTACTATTACTGTTAGGCGGATTACTGTTAGGCGCCGCAATGAAAGGGGGCGGCACAACCAAATTTTTCTCCCCTTTTCAGAAGTCCATCTTTGAAGTCTTGTACCGGGCGTTAGAAACTAATCATTTTTAATGTTAGAACTTGTCCCTATGTAATCGACTACGAAAAATCGAATGGAATCATCAGTTTTTTGATAACTTTATTATTTTGATTCGAAAACTTCGAAAAATAGGAATCTGACCGACCAAGTGGACTAAAAGTGTTGGATGAAAGTTCGTGCCATCAAATTTTTTGATGAATTCCGGTAGTTTATGAAATGGGAGATTGGATTTTGCCAAAATAAATAAAAAATTTCAGCGACGACCCCAAAGTTTTTTTGCATATTATGGTAAAACTAAGTCTTGTGTACACCTGTGTCAAATTTCAGAAAAATTGATTATCTTTAAGTAGTTTTCATACGCATCCGAAAATTCTAAACTTTCAAAATTTTCGGTTTTTGGAAGTTTTGAGGATGACACAGATTAGTGCCACCGAATTTCTTTTTACCATAAGATTCTACGCGAAATTTGCCACTGAATACAATCCTAACTAAAAAATTCGTATGTGTTCGAAAAATGTTAGACGCCTGTTTCTTCATCTTTCACTGTGCAATCCATTAAAAAAACAAGAAGGAGGCAACACCGGAAGGAGGCAGCAGGCAACGAAGAGTCGCACATTCACATTTCCCAAAAGAGTCTGTAACTCGGGATTGAATGAAGATTTTTCGCTGAAAATTTGGGAATGAACTTCTATAAAGTAGGAGAAGACAATCCAACATTAAAAACTGAGAAAATCTATTTTGAACATTTTGTTGTGGTGCCTAATTACTGTTTATTTAATTTTATACATTTCGACTTTCGGTCAGAATTTCGAATTTCTTTTGGGAATCGGCAGAGCTAGGATAAAAATAGGTCAATGAAACCTTCTCTGTGAGATCTCTAATACAGAAATGCTTTTTTCAAGCACCGTTCAACAAAAAATCGGATGCGCGGCGGCTGAAAAACGGCTACCGGTGGGCTATTTCCCAGCACTGGTTTTGATTGTCAAACGGCCCAGTTTTTTCGGACAGCCCAACATGATTTTCAGATATGTCCGGAATGACTTTTTCAAGAAACGGAATCCGGAATCCAGAATCCGGAACACGGAAAAAATTATTTTCTCAGAACCCTGAGTACAGAATCAGGAGTGAAAAAGCAGCGCAGCCTGAAAAAAAACGGGATCCGGAATACGGAATCTGGGCAAAAATATACTTTACGGAATCCGGAATCCAATCCGAACATCCCGGTAATTTGCAGGTCGTGAGAAGAACTATCAATATTTGATTATTAATCTACATTCAAAAGTTTAAACGTGTCAGATTTCAAATATAAGAATCACTTCATTCGACAGAAAAAATAGTTTTACAAAGTTTTATTCAGAAATAGACTAGTAAATTAGTTCACAGTGGTCGTTGCATTCAAGTTGGACTCCGTACTGGCAAGTGTGGTGAATGAAGTGTTAGTGCGTGAGATATCATCAGTAGATTTTGTGGGTTCGGAATCAGTCACATTTGGAAGAGTGGACACTTCCGCAGTGGTATCGATTGTGGTAGTTATCAAAATAGGCCCAGCATCTTCAATTTTCACTGTTGGAAAAGTCGAAACTTCTTGACTAGTGGATTCTGTGAGAATTGAGGTTGTTGTGGTATTAGGAAATGATGTAGACGTCTTTGTGGATTCATTCAGACCAGCATCAGTAGTTGAAACAACGACAGTGGATTTCTCAGGGACAGAAACCGTTGATGTAAAACTCGAAGGTGTTGAATTTGTAGTCTGGATTGCCAATGGAGCATATTTAGCGCTTGAGACTCTTGTAAATAAAATTGTCGTAGTTACAAGGGGGACTGGTGATGTTTCATTGGTTGCATTCAAAGTTTCACTTCTGAAAATCAATCGGATTGAAATGAATCGAACCACTAATACTCGCATTGATTTGTTCTCCTCGGAATCCACATTCATCAGTAAGAAAGCACCCAGTCCAAGAAGACTGATAACTGCGAGGAAAATGGTGATACAAGCAAAGATACACCAACAAGTACCACATTTCTGTGGTTTTCTCTCTTCCTCTTTGTTACTTCCTTTCTTTGATTCCTCATCACTTTCCGTTGATCGACTAGTTTTGGTGGCAGCCACTGATGGTTCTGATCTTTTTGGATTGAGACCATCCGAAAAACTCAAAGTGTTGTTTCCACGAGGACGATTAGACTCCAAATCCACGTCATCATTTGATTTCAATGCTGGAGTGTTGGGAAGACCAGTTAATAGATCAGGTGGAGCATCCGATGGAGGACGAGGAGCCACGGGTGGAGGTACCTGCTGACTGTCTCCAAGATATTCGTAGTCGTTGCTCATTCTGAAATACACTGCAAGTGTCCAAAGTCGTGAAAGTCTTGTATCACCTCAGTTAGTTGGTTAGTTGATGTTGCAAGTAGAATTGATACTGACAAGTTGGGAACGACGATGATTTGATAAGAAAAAAGTAAAACAGGTTAAAAGTGTTACGTTAAAAAAAAGGAAAAATCAACAAACAAATAACTTTTCAATTGAAAAGAAAAAAAATTCGTTCAAATAAACAATTTCTCCATTTTAATCCATTTAAAATCCATTCCTATAATTTCCAACGTTCATTTAAATAACGTATTTCGATACCCACTAAATGCCTGCATCATTTTCACCGGATTCTTCCTCCAAATCGTCTTCTACGAGTTCAGAAGATCCACGAGTGAAGCCACGACATTTAGAGATACGTATTCTGTACAATGACTATGATTCTAACTGGCAGAAGAAAGTCGTATTGCTGGCAAAAGATGCGATTCAGACTGTGATGGAGAAGGGAGTGGAGACGGAAGAAGCGTACTACCAGGTATTTAATATTATTCTCTTTTTGAGTTTTGGGATTTTTTCAGAAGGTAGCAGCATTATTGAAGGAAATGTTAGGAGCCACTTCAGAAGAGGAGAAGACAAAAAAGTGGAATATCATTGTGGGAAACGACTTCAACGTTCATGCTGAAGCTGTGAAGGATACGATCTTGTTTTTCGCAGTTGGAGATGTCAAATTTGTGATTTATCGAACTTTAAACTGAACTATTTTCCCAGTAACTAAATGAAGCTTTCTCCGAACTAACCTCTTCCTTATCCTCCTCTTTTTCTTCCGTTTTTCTACGTAGAAACTTCAGTCGAGAGGGCTTCTCATAGCACAGGGCTCCATAAATGTACTTCTCAAGCTCCCAGATGTATTCAGAACAGCTAAAAATATATTCTGAAGGTTTTTTATCAGCGCAAGGATTCTACCGAATAATATGTTTCCAGCATGAAGACGCATGAATTGCAATTCTGGATTCATCAAGAACCAGTTGCATGGCCAGAAGATGTTCCCGAGAAGTGCAAGTGGATTTCTGTTCACTGTCAGAAGCAATAGCATCGTCCCTAAGATCCTCGAGACAGCAGGAAGTTTCAACGAGTTGTTCGAATATCCAACCACATCGAGATTCTAATCCCAAAACTTGGGCAACAGCACAAAGATTTCGCATTCCACAAATAGAAACTGATATTGCCTCTCGAATCTTCTCCCTTGTTTTTCTCTTTTCCTTAGCTGATGAGAACGTTGAGAGAACATCAATTATCATCTGCCATGCGGAACTCGTCATCCATCTTGCCACATTTTTCTCTGGAATTTTGTAATGAATATGTAATTGATAGTATGGCATTACCTTGAGTACAATCCACTTCGTCTTGTCTTGTTTTTATTCTTTTCAACTTTTCGACATCCGACAGTAATCCTTTTGTTTGCCCATCGAAATCGTTGATCACATTTTTCAGCGTTGGAGTAATTTTTGTGGCATGGACATCTGCTAGTTTGAGATTATCGTACACTTTTTCCAGCCATCCATTCGCCACGTGGACCACACTTCCAGAATTCAAAACAGTCTTTTTCAAATCCTCCAAAGTGTATGTATTCGGGCGAGAGACGTATGAGAGAGCTGCATACGTCGTTAGGTATATCGCATCAGTATTCAGGAATTCTTGTTGAATTTTTGATCGAGACTTGTATGCGTCGGCATGGACAGAACAAAAGTCTGAAATGTTGTTTTTTTTTTCTTTTTATAGATCAAATTTCTGTTATTCTTACTAGCATAGAAGTTAGATGCAAACTGTAGAATAGCTTCGTCTATCGATAGTGTGCTTTTAGGAGAAGCAATCAATTCCAAGTTTTCAGAAAATGACTCAACAAAATTTTTTGCGGTATTTCTCTCGCTCTGAAAACATTTCCGATTAGTATCAATATTAGGAACTCTCTACTTACACTTTCATCTAACTCGCTAGACCTTCTGGTAGAAATTGTTCCACATCGGAATTTCTGTTCAAGTCTTCTTAACTTCAGTGCCATTTGATCATCCGATGCAGAACTACTTCCGGATTGATCAAAAACATTTTCGGTGTCTTCATCCACTGTGGAAATATCGGAAGCTCGCTCAGAACATTTTAGAGAAAAAGCTGAAAAAATTATATTACAATGAGAAACTATGCAAGCCCTTACAGTTCACAATTGTATCTTCCACAGATAAGAATGTTTCTGAAATCATTTTCTTTTCGTCCTCTGTGAAAAAGCGATGAGTTGACAGTTGTTTCATTCCATCCAACTAAAAAAACTATTTATTTTTCTGATTTTTATTCAAGAAAACTCACCATAGCAACTATAGTTTTAACTGCATCAATACTCAACTCCAATTGTGGATTGGCACATTCAACTATACAAGTCATCAACATTCTCCATAACGATAAAGATCGTGTAGTGACACAACTTTTTGCAATTTTACTCATTTTCGATCCGTCTCCCAGTATTTTCTTAATGAGCCTCAGAGCTTCTGATCGTTGATCCAACCGTGGAAATAGAAAAGCTTTGTGGAACAAAGCTTCGAGGGACGATGCAAGAGATGGATCAGATATCATCAGCCGAATTAATTGATCTACGATTCTGAATTTTATTTTTGTTTCAATACATCTACAATTTTTAAACCAACTTACTGGTATAAAGCCCGCCATGTGTGAGGGTTGGTGATCACGGAAGGTGCGAGAGCAAAATCAATTTTACCTTCTCCAACTGGCTCATCATTTCCACCACTTTCCGATGCTTTTAATGAAATGCTCATTCCTTTTTGGGGAATCCCCAGCAACAGTATAATCAGTGGACAAATTTTCTCCCTAACAATAAAACAATAATTTTCCCTTCTGGGTCGTAATTTCCACTAACCATAACAAGTTCACAAATGGTTGATGACGGAGAATTCTCAAATTCGACGATGTCAAAAGAGCACAAATGGCATCGAGAGAAATCAGGCATTGCTCATGGGCACTACTCATTTGTTCTACTTCTGCACTAAGTTCTTCTAACATTTTCCCAACGTCCATATAAACCGCAATAGCTTCCTGAGGTGATTCGCAAGCAGCATAACGATTTGAAAAGTATGCAGAAAGGGATTGTGTGGTTGCAGCCCGACAAGCTACTCGAACTCTTTCTTCTTCATTTTTTCCATAAACTCTTTTGTAAATCTGAAATTGGGTAATCCAGATCATTAGATATCAACGGGATAAACTCACCTGCACACACTGTTCCACATCTATCATCGAAACTTTTAATTCGTTACTACATACCATTTCTACCAGAAGCTGAAAATATCAATCAAACTACATATTCTGTTGAATATAAGCCTTCCTACCGTAATACATTTACATTGTAATTGACTTCTCCATTCATCTATTCCGGTCATGGCATGTAAAACTTGTGACGGTAAACTGTTTTGAGTTTCTTCTGTGATTGTGTCGTGGAATAATTGATCACGAAGAAGGATTTGTACTCCGTCCACTGCATGATGAAATGTTTTTCATTGCCATGATCGAATGCAAGTTCAAAAGCAGCCAGGCATTTTTCTCTGAGGTGAACAATTGGAACGTCTTTCTTATCACTGAACCGCTTCCATGTTTCTGAAAAATATTTGTTTTTTCTTTGAATTAAATTGTTTTTTTTTCTTTTTTAGTTTTTTCTGAAAATTAATGTGAAGAATACTGTAGAAGCTCGCCTTTTGCCACATTGATGGCTTCTTTCGATGCAGAATGTTTGACAGTCCCAGCCAGACCATTAAGTGCAGCTTCCATTCAGAAGACTCTGTGTGGAATATATTGACGAAAAGCAGAGAAGAGTGCTCGCCTCCGAGTCGACGGCTTCATCCCACATTTATTTTTCTCTGCGTCTATGATGGCTCTTCTAGGTTTACGTCGTCTGACTGAAAAGGAGAGGGAAACATAAAAGAAAGAAAACGAAACGGAGAAGAAAATAAAGAAGAAAAAAAGAAGAAGTGAGGAGAGTCTAGGAATTCTGGATTGATTACAAATTAAAACGAAGTCAGGAAAAAAACTCAATATTTTAAAAGGAATAAACAAAGAGTTTTAGTTATTTTTTGTTTTCAGAAAAATCGTAAGCCCGGGAACCTGAACACCAATTGAAAAAAAAGTTTATGCGAAGAAGACAAGAGTGGAAAGTTTTTCCAAGTTATTTTTCTACGGATAAATTGACACACACAGTGGATAGTTTTCCTCTATAATGGTCGTTTGGGACTCTTTTTTTCTCCATATATAGCTCCCACCCACCTAAAATTTAATCTCAGCATGTGGGAACTCGAAAAGTTAGAAACGATTTTCGGGATTATCTCAATCGAACCCCCACACCTGGAACTTTTTGAGACTGTCCTTATTCGAGACCCTGATTTTCAAGAAAACAAGAGTGGGTAGTTTTTCCAAGTTTTTTTTTTCAACAGAATAGCATTCCTAGGATAAATTGCCAACCAAAGAATTAGAGGTTCTTAATTAAATATCTGACTCTAATAGAACGTTCTCAGAAAAAAAGAAGAAAATCCAAAAATTAACAGCCAAAAAGAGAAATCTAATTTGTGGGGAGCAACTTTTTTGTATAATCTCTTCCTGTAATGATAAATTGGGTAAAACCTTGTTCCCTCTATTTTTACCAACTTCAGGGCTCTGCCACTTTTCTGTTCCTCTTTTTCTCGTTTCGGAGTCCGTATTCCGGATTCCGGATTCTGTTTTACGAACGTCGTTCCGGACATCTCTGATGATGAATCTCCTCAGCTGGTTAATGTACAAAAAAGTTGTTAACTACAATAAGAGAGTTCTAGACTTTGCTAAAACTCCATGGAACTTTCAGAACGAAGAGACAACTCTTATAGGATTATTTAGAAGCCCAAAAAAATTTTCAACTGAAATTGTCGTGTGGAACTACCTCTTCTTCTGACTAATACTGTATATTGCCGTTTTCAGTTAAGATTCTCTACAAGATAATTTTATTCAGAGCAGTTTGAGTCTCTACGAATTTTCCGAAAACACTATTAGTGTCATGAATCGAAATGGTGTCATGGTATCTATTTAGATGTTTAGTCACGGTATATATTTTTTTGTTTTTCAGCCAAAAGTCAAAAAGTTTCGCCCCCTTCTTCCCTTCAATACCGTAGTGATCGCGCACCCCAATTTTTGACATTTTGTAGAAATTTTCTTTGATAGCTCCTAACTAGGTTCATTTCAGTCCGTTTTAGCTAATTCTTTTTTTGATCGATAGCAAATCTCTCTGGCTACGGGGTCACCAAAAATCGTCCAAAGTTGTACCGTTTGAACCGAGATATGATAACGAACGTACAAGTGGATCCGATTTTTTTCGCGTTTTCCGGTTTTTTTCTGCCGAACTAAAGGCTAATTCAAAAATCCGGTTTTTCCATTCGATGCGTAATTTTGTTAGCTACAATTAAAAAAAAAGAAAACCGGACCGGTCTGTTCGACCTGAGCGAGCGGAGCGAGCGAAGGGAGAACAGACTAAACCTTGAATCAACTGATTCCACTGAGCCAGGGCCGAAGGCCCTGCATCTGATTCCACCTAATTGCGCGGCATAGCCGCGCCTAGCGGAGTCGGCCGTAAGCCGAGGACGCTAGTCAAGACAAGTTATGGTAAATTTTCCAAAGACCTGAAGACCTATTTCCTGAAAATGCGTGACTAAAATACAATCCAAGCAACGTGGAGGATGGTGCGCCAGCCTATCTGATGGAGGAAGATTGTGTAAGTTTCAGTTCCGAAATCATAGAAGTGAAGAATCGCATCTCAAGAAAAGAAGATGGATGAAACAGTGAGTGAAACGATTAAACGTGTGAAGACGATGTCTTCATCCTCGTCTTCTTCTTCATCTACATCTGCCGAAAAGTTGAAAGTTCTTGCTCAAAGGACCGATCATTTGTTGTACAACTGCCATGCATTGAACTCTGCGACGATCCAATTAAATCAATACCGTCATAAAATGGTTTTAAAAACTGATGGGAAGGTGATTGAAATGGAGAAGGTAATCTACTGAAATTAGTTGATTTTTACTTTTAACTAGCCAAGTGTTCCTTTTTGTTATTAGGAATATTAGGATTACTGTAGTTCAAAAAATGCTTCTAAATAATTTGTTCAGGGTTTGTCTGAACTGGAGCAAATTGGAAAAGAGTTCGCAGAAGTTGGACCACTTATGGAGAAAGAGCTTGAAGACACTCTCGCTTGGTTATTCAGGAAAATTGGATGGTGTGGTTATTTTCCGGTTAATGTAATTCGCGAATTTCCAGGCAGCCGAAAAAAGAACCCAAGAATGTTGGATACGCTGGCTACGAAGATATGCTACTGCGTTACCGGGATCTCAAAAAGGAGCTTGATAGAATGCAGCTGATGAACAATCAAACATCCAACGCCCGGAATCAAGTTTTTCTTGAAAAAAGAAACTTGCGTCAGATGAATGAGAAGATGGAAGAAATTCGCCACCGTTTCATGCTACTGAGTGTTTCCAGACAGATAACATCAAGAACTTTGAATGATAATGATGTATGCAGTGTTCAACATCATATCTACAGACGATTAATTTTTTCAGCCTCTTGCAACATTATTCTTCCTTCCTCTAGTACTTCCTGGTATCATCTACCACGCGGACACTTCCGAATCTTATGCATCATCCCTTCTCCGCATCTTAAAGAGAATTCTCGCAGTGGCAGAAGCAGTTCAGTACGAAAGAAGTCCCTTGAATGATCCAGTTGTCACAAACAGCAATGTCTTGGAATATCCACCTCAGTATGCTGTTCCAGCTCTTTATGCTCCCATCCAGGTAACAATATTGAGACAAAACTAGTCACAACACGTATATGATTTTCAGTATGCCGAAGGTAATGGAGAAGTTCTGGCACCTGAAGAAAGAATCGTTCCGATCGCCAGAGACAGCGCCCACACTCTGATTGCAACTGAGAATGGAGAAGTGTTTGCTCCAGAGGAAAAGATTCCACCGATCGCCCGTGATAGTGCTCATACACTGGTTGCGTCAGAAAACGGAGAAGTTACGGCAACAACTGAAATGAACATGCCAATCGCAAAAGATAGTGTTACAACTTTGGCATCGAATGAATCACCAAAACCATTGTTGCCAGGCCAGAAGATTCAGGGGGCTAATGTTAAGACGAGTCCGAATAAGAGCCAGAGAACCGGATGAACTTCTAATATTCGCCTATAACTCTTAGAATAAAATGAATTTCTTGAATGTGTTTTTTGTTGTTTGGAAATACGATTACTGATTCTTACAAAGTACCATTAAAAACCTAATATGTTCCTGACATATTAATTATTATCAAAGGCAGTATTCGAAGTGTTAATAGCCATTTTCAGTCCAGATATCACCAATTATCATTCAAGCAATATTTTACGGCTTTGAGAAAACCCTTTTCCAGACACCGGATAATGATTTTACACTTTCTCGCAAAGAGGACTGTGACACTATTCTGAATTTCTAGATCGAGATGTGCCAAATAAATTGTTTTCGAGAAGTTCTAGTGCGACAGCAAAGAAGCACCATAATATTATGAATAGGCCTGACACATGCAACTTTTCAGTTGATTAAAGAAGTTTAATTTCGATGCCTTTTTCGAAAAAAATCCCATTTTCGAGACAATCATGTTGGTTCTCCAGCAGTTTAGTCGCTCGTCTCTTCCCCTCTCTTTCAAAGGCGCACATATTTTCCTCGGCGGGTCTCGCAACGCTCGCCGCGGATGAAACGAGTGACACCGTATGCCCCCATTTCTCTAATTTTTGCTGTGGCCTACAACGGATTTTTCCTTTTTTTCGGTAAAATATTTGAATTTCGGCATTTTTCAGCAGAAAATTAATTAAAAAATGAATTTTCATAATCTTTAATAATGTTCTCTTGTCGTTGACCCTGATTTTCGGATGATTCGCCGAAAAATCAGTCGTAGCTTTTTGTAAATTATTTTTTCAAAAAATTGTTTTCAGTGGGTTAAACATGCCCGAGATTATCGGCAAGCTTTTGAAGTCTGACGGAAAGGTCGTCTCTGAGATCGAGAAACAAGTCTCTCAAGCTCTCATCGACTTGGAGACCAATGATGACGTCCAGAGCCAACTGAAGGAGCTTTACATCGTCGGAGTTAAAGTGAGTTCTCAATTAATTCAGCATCAAGTCGAGTAGCAAAAAAATTTTAGGAGGTCGAGCTTGGAAACAAGTCCGCCATCATTATCTACGTCCCAGTTCCACAACTCAAGGCTTTCCACAAGATCCACCCAGCACTTGTCCGTGAGTTGGAGAAGAAGTTCGGAGGAAGAGACATCCTCATCCTTGCCAAGGTAAAATTTGGAATTAAAAAACAATTATCATTATCTTTTCAGAGACGTATTCTTCCAAAACCACAAAGAGGAAGCAAGGCCAGACCACAAAAGCAGAAGAGACCGCGTTCCCGCACTCTTACCGCTGTGCACGACGCTTGGCTTGATGAGCTCGTCTACCCAGCTGAAGTTGTTGGAAGACGCATTCGTGTGAAACTCGATGGAAAGAAGGTCTACAAGGTAAGTTCCTTTTCCGAATATTTTTTTAAGTGAAAATGCCAATTTGTTGCACCCAATACAATAAATAATTTTCAGGTTCACCTCGACAAATCCCACCAGACCAACGTCGGACACAAGATTGGAGTCTTCGCTTCGGTTTACCGCAAGCTCACCGGAAAGGATGTCACCTTCGAGTTCCCAGATCCAATTTTCTAAACATTTTTTGTTGACTTACAATAAATTGTTGATATAATTTATTGTAACTTGAAGATTCAAAAAAGGATGAGGGGATATCGCTTAAAAGCTTTGGTTTCGCCCGATTTTCTCAGACGCAAGATTTCGTCTTTTTCGCATCGAGAAAGTCGTTATTAATCGAGCCTGAACTTTTGGTAATCGCGATTTCTCAACAAAGTTTGGTTAGAATTTGGAACACATAAAAATACGAAGCTTCGACTTGATTGGTCATGTGAAACTGGTGGGCAGAGTTGAGCACATTTTCAGTTACTTCATTACTTCTGGGTTTTTCATTTCTATTCCACTTTCTTCGGAACATGTGGAACCTCATTCTTCGATTTGTGGAATCATCACCCTGTTACAAAATTATGGAGAAAACGATTCATATTCATTGGAAACAAATAACGGAAACAACGTATTATTAAACTCCTGATTACATTGGCTTGAAGTTGCGAGCTTGTTTGAGCTGAGCGATTCTTTTTCGGTCTTCTTCGAATTTTTTGAGAAGTTCTTGTGCTTCTGTAATACATGTATTCCAAACTGGTACGATACGGGAAGAAAAAAAACTCACTCTCTTGCTTATTTTTCTTGATTTGGAATGTATAATAAGCGAGATCAACCTTTTCTTCTTTCCGTTTAATCCTCCAATCAACGGAACATCCTCCTTGCTCAGTTTCATAGATTTAACAGTCTTCTTCTTTTTCGTTACAGTAATCCAGCCGTCTTCATCTGTCTCCGAGTACTTCCTCTTCGCCTCTTTTCTTGCTTCTGCTTGTTCAACATCATATCGCTCAACATAGGTGTCAGCCATTTCCTGAATCTGTTCTTCCGACGGGAACAACCGTTTGTACAAACACATTGAATCTGAGAAATTTGAGAAATATATTGTCGAATTAAAAAAAGTGGGACCTTAGAATTTGAAAGGCGTAGCTTTTTTTAATCTACGAAAAAGTGCGGCAAGAACGTAATATTTCAGATTTTCACCTCGATAGAGCTACTTTCGCAATTAAGTTCGGTTTTTCGATGAAAAACAGATTCTAGAGATGCTAGCAATCATTTTCACACCAAGACATCTACATTTTGTCTAGAAAATCCCACTGAATTCACAGAAACAAGTTTCGTTTACTACTGTAGTGATTTTGAGGCAAGGCCTCAAAAATTGACCGTAAGCCGCCCGCAAATTTTTCCAGGTCCCCTTTTTTCAATTCGACAATAGAGATGGAAATCAGATTTCCATTAATACCTTTCAAGACAGAAGGAAATTCAGGTTCTTCTAAGAAATCGGTGATCGTGAGGGGTCCAATGTCTTGGCACAAGGCTAGAACTTGAATTATAGCTTCTGGCTTCTCAAATGTGATTGACATCGTTAACTGTCCCTGGGAGAGAGAATTATCGTTTGCGTTGCTTCTTTGAACAATGGATTCTTCTACTTCAAATGGGGCAAACTGATCGATCATAGCGAGGATGACTTCCTATAGAAAATGATTACAGACGATAACTAGGGAGAATATGTTACCTCTCCAATGAAAGCTGGAATGTTGCTAACGATGATAGACTTTTCTTTTGACGGGTCTTTTTTGAGAAACAGATGACGCTCCGTTGCGTACTTGCCTCCGATTCGAAATTTCAGGTCTGAATTAAGGTTATTATATTTTTTTTATTTTTCAAAAAATAATCTTACATCTCAATGCATCGGGATCCAGGTGGATAACTTTTTCACATTTCTTCTTCGGGACCTTCTTTATTCTCTTCTTTGAACAGCAACTCATGTCAGCAACCTGCAATCAAAAGAATATTTTTAAAAACCCTGATTCAGATTAAAGCTGATCTAGAACTCTTGTCAGTTCCTGAGTCTCTTTTATTTTAATAAAAACGTTGTAATATACTGTCTATTCAATAAAACGTGGACGCGCCGCAGGTTGCAAAGTGACACGCCCCTTTTTGAAACGCGCGAGAAGAGAGAAAA